AAATCCTAGCCTATGAGAATGAGATCGGTGCTAGAAAGATTTTGGAAGCGTTCCCCATCCACGAGAGAAATCCTGAGCTGAACAACCGAAATGAGTGCATTGCTATAACAAGCGAATTTCTGCCGTTCATTTCTTTTTGTGGGCTTTGAGAACACCGCGCAACTCTTATCAACGACCGTCAATGGTGTATCTCACTGGTCCCTGTTTGTTCACGAAATCGAGAGGGACGACAACGTTGGTGAAACCGCAGGAGGTTGGTTTCTCGGTTGGGATCTTTTAGTGTTGAAGTTTCTGGGAGCTGTTGCAACTGGGCTAGCGCGTTTGGGCGCTTGGTCGGATAAGCCACAGATCAGGAGCACCAAACTGCTTTCAGGTCCTGAAGACGACGATTTGTCGAAACGTCGACCAATAAAGCGGTTTCTGCCTTAACAAACCTGTACGGCAAAACAGTGAAAAACATCTATGCCTAGTGTCTCTTAGCAAGACGATCCACTGGGCTCCCCGGTTCGCGACAGGGATGAGTGAAGAATCCATTGGCGCTCGCTCCAGGAAATCGATGATTAACAGGACAGGTGGTACAGGTAATAACTGAACAACAGCTATCCGTTGTACTGTATTTTAACTTGATTCGAGCGCTCTTAAATATAAATATTCATCAGACTTATTAAAACAATGAAAAAAACAAAGTAACAATTTTCTCATAGAAAATGACAAGCGGTACCCATGCGAGAAACAAATAAGGAAACAGCATATTAACACAGATTTATGAGATCAAGTGGAGGAGTCGAGAACGCATATCTAAGACTTCCATGGTCACGTTGTCTCCATATCCGGTTCGTGCAGGAGTTCTTGCATCATTAAATGAATATCATTTTACCGTTTCAGTATGAGAACTGAAGAACCTCATACAACATGATAACAGTTTCTCACCGAAGTAAGCGGCTGCTTCAGAATTGGAAATCGTCTGAACAACAAAGTTCACTAGCATGGAGCCATATTATCCAGGTCACATAGAAACCACAATGAATTGAAGGCGTAAATTAAACCGAGACATACCTCGTAGAAAGAAAGAAACGCGTGAACAGCATCTCCAAGCACATAGCGATAGGATGCCTCACGCATCGACGGCAAGAGTCTCTGAGTAGCATCAAGAACGAAAGCGACGAAAGGCAGCATTTCCTAGGAACAAAATTATTTTAGCTACAATGTACAGAGAGTACTGAGCGGTTTCTCGTTTCTAATTTCATTCCGCATTTTCATGTATCCAAAAATTTAGAAGTAGGAATGGTGGCGCACGTTGTGTAAAGGCAAGAAGCACACTGTCACACATGCATGATCAGGGATCCAACCTCTAATCGATTCTCGCCTAGGCCAATCAACTTTTCCATCCCTCCGGGGTCGGTTAATTCGTACAAAACTCGCCTGAGAGGGTAAAAGCACCAAGGTGTACATCGAGTGGCAATCGGAAGTCAATGAATAGGTATTGTTGTTATTGTATAGGTATACATTAATGTTCAAAACACCACTACGATTTTTCATGAGAGTCGAATGCGAAATGCACTCCAAAGACGGAATTGATCGGGAAAAGCTTTTACCCCTCTTTACTCACTAAAGTGAGGAAGATGATATCATTATGTTGCCGTGAAAATAGATTATACTCTATGCAACTTTTACTTCGACGAAATAGTATGTATATCATATCGTCGAACTAAAGCTTTGAAGACATTAGACTGACGGGAACGACTAGAGAAGAGACGAGCTAAATGGGCTTTAGTTGCAAAAAAGACTAAATCTTCAACATGCTTTCAGCTGCAGCGGCTTAGATATTCCTAGGACTGATGAGTTGTGGAAGCAGATTCAGAGGTCTCAAAGAGTGAGTTGAAAAGCGGTAGTTTTGATTCGAATGCAATCACCATTTTAGTCGAAAAAATTCACCTTACGTAAAGCAGACGGCATCCTTGTAAGCAGCGGAATCTGTTGCGCCATCGTACCAAAATTCCTAGAAAAGTTTGAGTAAGTCAAAAAAGTAAACAAATAAATAAAAATGAAAATAAATAAGTTGAAACAGTTTGCGATGAAGTGAAATTATAGTACGATTAACCGCTCACCTAATCATTACTTTTGGATAAGTCTCCACCAACTGCGTTAGAGTTCGCACAGCACCGAAGGAGTCTGACTGGTTCGGATCCACTGCCTGTGCCACTAACGTTGTCACCAGACCGTCTGTATCTCGTTGACGCCATCGAAATCCTTGGATACTTGCTTGATTGGCTAGTGGATCCACAAACACCGAAGGAGTCTGACTGGTTCGGATCCACTGCCTGTGCCACTAACGTTGTCACCAGACCGTCTGTATCTCGTTGACGCCATCGAAATCCTTGGATACTAGCTTGATTGGCTAGTGGATCCACAAACAGACCTAGGTCACATAAAACAGTTAGGAAGCGATTGATATCCATCACAGACCTGAGTTTTTGAGATAGAATGTCTCCCTTTAGAAGCAGGAAAAAAACGATTAACACCGTCTCACTCGTACGACTCTGAGTTAAAAGCGTAGGGGCAATCCAGATAGGCTATACCTATCTTAATCAAGTAATTGAAATCAAGAAACTGACACGGATATTTCAGTTGTATATCGTCTAGCAGAGCCTGAGCGTGCTTCCTTTTCTCAATAGGGAGATCTGATCTGGCCAACGTCACAATGACTTCGGCTATCGGTACCACAACTTCTACGTTTGTGAGATCAACCTGTAACGTTATAGATTAGCAATTGACAGAAGAAAACCGCATAGGAGAATTTCGACTTGAGACCATTATATTCCGGAGATTTCACTACCAGCTGCCACTACTGCTAGAGGTATTGAGAACTTACCAATCGATCAATAAGGTTCACAGCAGCCTTCATCTGTTGTGGATCTCCCATTACCATTTCGACGACGTACTGGGCAAGACATGCCCATTGCTGAGCAGTCCATTCACGACAAAACTCACGAATAGCGTTAATCATGAAGAATGAACAGACTATCTTTGGATTATACCTACAATCATGGATCAGGAAACAGACCTATAATAGAGGACTTGATAGAAACTGACTTCGTATTGAATGTCGAAAGTAGTCTGAGAAAAACTGTCTCGATAGTCTTCAACGGACTTCGGAGAGGCATTTGTGCAACCAGCTCTTCTATGCCAGAATCACCGAATATGGCCATCATCTGAAATCATTGTTACCTTAGAAGGAAGTGATCTGATATTGGAGAGCTATTTGCACCTGTGCATCGAACTCCGCAGGATCTGCGTTCCTTTTGAAAATCTCCACCCGATGTTGCAGGAATTTATTCAAAAGCCTGAACACTTCACTCTGTACAGTAGGACCGAAATTGAACGGGTACAGATTAATTTATCGATATTACCACTTATGAGATCCATTCCATACACTACGCTGCTAAGAAGCACCGAAACGCAATCACGAATTGTTGACAGGTACCAATCAAACTAATAGGGAATAAGAAACACTCACAGTGCTCGGCTGTAACCAGCTGGAATTACTTTTGTATGGAGCACTTCCAGCATCTCTTCTTCGGTGAGCTCCTAGAAACAAATTTCGTCCAACTGATTACAAAAGCGGATTTAATAACTGTAGAAAACCAACGGTAAAGAGAAAAGGGATATAAGGGAAGAAGAACGGATAGTGAAATCTACCTTTTTCTTTTGGTTAGCTGGTGCTGGAGCATTCGGTACGTATTGACGAAGGTGTCCCTCGATAGCGGGCGAAGTAGCAGCGCTCTTTAGCACTTTTGCTGAGAAGGTCGACAAACGCCGCTTTACAGATGGGAACTAAAAATTCATATCAGCGACGCAGCTGTGAAGATAGAAAGCTTTCGTTTTCACTTCATTCGTAAGACTTGTAAATTTGGTTCTCTTGATGTCCTCAATTATCGCTTTAGCATACAGAGATGAAGAAATGAAAACCTCAAATTCTGAGATAATGGTGGAATGAAAGTTCTGGAACAAAGAGCTCCAGAAGGCTGAGTTGGTCAAACCGTTCGGTAATATCGTGAAAGTTGAAATTGGACAAGGCTGACTTAAAACGATGACGATGTACGATAGCGAAATCTCGATTCCGCTTATTGCCAGGGTCTATTGGACTTCTCGACATGTGCGGTATCGCGTCCCAGCTTTCAATGTTTACTCAACCATGACTTCGTAATAATGAACGACGACTACAACTAATAAACATACCTTTTTCGCGCATGGTCCTAGTACAGCAAAAATCAAGTTAAATGCTTCACGGTCGCCAAGGAAGAACTTTAGATTTCCTTCAAGATGTTCCACGACTGCCATAGCGACATCCTCAGCTCGTTGCGTATCACGCCAGATATTCCAGCTGAGGACGAAGGGCGCATTTGGTATCTAACACATTCACAAACTAATATTATTATCTATAATAGCACGACAGCAATGTTAAGGACTCACAGTGGCTGCTTTCAAATGCTGGACCATTTCCTGACGCGACATTGGCTTTGCAGGCGGAGGCTCGATGATCTCTGTAGCTTTTCGCGGTGTGATACTATGGAATGGACTGACTTCCATCTTCTCTTCACCGGACTTTTGAATCTCGTCAAGAAGTGTAAGCACCTATAGTGAATGACGAGTAACGAATCTGATTTGAGGAAAATGGATGGCTGAGTGTAGGTCTCAGAGCAACTCACTTGTTGGGCGTACTCGATGCCATTAATGCTGTGAATGTTCAGCATGACCCTCGCCGTCTTATCCAACGACATGACATCCGACTTCGTCAGTGGACGCGTCTCGCAAGCGATTTTCAAAAGATGTGAAGCATGCGCAGGTCTCATTGCACTCATCTCACACGCCACTTTCAGGGCCAAAGTTGGATCCAAGTCCTGCATCGCGATCTAAAGCTGGACAATTAATCAGCTCTAAACACATTACGTGATTTAAGGTAGTAAATGAGATTTGTTGAAAGGATAAAAATGTTGACGGTTAAGAGCCTTCAAACCGTGCAGACCTAAATTATTCAGGGCCATTTATCAATCTCTGAAATGATTACTATATTCCTATTACTACTAATTACTTACTTCATGGAACCACTCAGGCAGAATGGTGGCTAACAAGTAACAAAATGAACAAGTGAGGTAAAAATGAGGCAAACAGTATAGCCGAATTTGAGGCTGGCGCTCCTACACTTACTTAGATTCTTGATGGAAGCAAGCTGGAACTGCTTCATAGTGGGTTAAACGGCACTGCTCCAACGACATTATGTTGGTAACACAGCTTTAGCCTTTTCCCACACGCGAAGGTTAAATTTGATTAAAAAAGTACATAGCATGTAAAGTTTACTGAATCCAGATTGTAATGGTTGAATTTGCAAAATTATTTCTAAGAGAACATTTGAAAGAAAGGCACAACGGGGACACCTATTCGATAAGGAACCTCCATGCTTCTTTAAAATGAAAACCAACAACTTCAACCATCTCACCTGCACAATATTTTCGTAATCAAATTGCAACATGAATGCTCTCAGTTTGGACGTCAGCAAATCCACTGGCTTGCCGTCACACGTCACCTTTGGCATTGGACTGTTTTCAGGCAGCCAAACCTTAACTCGAATGAGAATCGTCTCGAATCTCATTTAGGCGTAACTAGTCATGTAGCGACTATGAAAATTCACTGTTCACCTCAGCGAGTTTTCGATAGGCGATTCCTTGTAGGCCTGAAGTGTAGCACAAGAGGCGCAGTATCGCTTCTACTGCGTCTGCGGTCATGAACATCTTAAAACTCACATTTTATATAGTTTCTATTAACGGCAAACCCTATTCTACCTCCTCACTTTTTGACCAGCCAGTTCCACGATGTACTTTACCACTTTGCGCCCAGGCGGGAATGCGGAATCTGCCGGCCACATTTCGGGAGCTCCAGCACATAATTCAACATAACGCAAGAACACATCAAGCAAAGGCTGAGCTTTTGCAGGAGAAGCCTTGCCGAAGTTTTCCACCAGAACAGCGAGAAGAATTGACAACTGAACAGTGACAGTAACACTACGCGTCTAACGAGAGCCGATATGCACCATTTTGAAAGAGAAGTGTCTTACACTCAGTGAAACATATGTCACGAAAATATTTTAAAAAATATTAATAACAAACAAGTAAAATGCAACGAAACCATAAGAAAAGTAAAAAAAAAAAAAAACTTGGGGGCTCCTATCAATTTCTAGGTGATTTCTCCAACTGCAGCACAAATTCCGCTAACGAATCACACAGTAAAGACTCTCAGGTCTCAAAAAAACATGATTCACAAAATAAACTTCTAACCAACCTGATGCATGTTCTCCTTGTCCATTTGTGATTGTATTGTTGACAAGAGGAGATCCAGCTGTGTACCATCAGAGTCCAGCGCCGCACGAGCGAGCTGTGTCACCATAGATGACGCGATTCTTGAATAAAAAGCGGAGTTTTGTAGACCGCGCATCCAAACACCTTCAGTAACTTGATCCAGATCCATCGACTCATTCGGATCCTGAATAAAGTTCTCAATTTCTATGATAAAGGGAGCCGACCGGAACCTTACCGTAAATAGAATGGTCAGAACGAGTTTAGCACCGAGGCGTTCGCGGACATTGAAAGCTGTACGCTTATCGAGAAGAAACAGAACTGCATTCACACAGTCATCTTGCACAGAGGCGTCAGCGAAAGCAGACCGGACTCTACCAACTATCTGAACATTAGCTGAATGTGAATCTTGCCAACACTCGAGTGCATATCACCCTTACACCCTAGTAAACGAGATAGTGACAGGAAGTTGGATAGGGTTTAACGAAAAAATGATTTTCTCAGGTCAGAATCGAACATGCTAATGAGTCGTGCTGATAACAGCAACCAAAAATTCGATCCTGCTCGTTTACTGACTTCAAAACTCCGAAATGCTTACCATATGAAGCGCGCTACTTTCGTCGACTTTAGCTACCTTTCGCCGTTGCAGATCGTAATGAAGATACTGACATAGAGTTGATGCTGGCATAGCTTCTATGGCAGATGAATTGGTAGCAAATAACTCCTAAAACATCTATAGGATGTCACATTCGAGACATACATTTACTGAGGAGATTGTGTTCGTATGGTTAGGCCACTCAGATCGCCCGACTTGCGGCGGGCTCCGCTATTTCCCGCTACACATTTGGAATGCACGGTCGACACTCTTTCATTTCTGACCAAAAAAGAACTCCGAAAGGGTGCTTCAGAATGTAGACTCTACAAATTCAACATGAGGTGCTCACAGTTATCAGTTAAGCTTACAAATTCCACACCGCTACCCCTGAACTTTACAATAACCAACCATCAATTATTTAATCTTAGCCATGATGATAACACTATCAGTATTTTATATCTTTTGTAGGCAACTATCTCATGTATATAATTTTCAATTATCTTCATTTTCATCATTTTTTAATATATTTCTCTCCAGCCGCATAATGGCCTCTGAAGTTTGAGCGCTCTATGCAAGAGTTATTAAGGGTCAAACAAATACCGACACACACACACATCAAACAGACACGTTTAATGAATTATATATAGTAGGATGCTTGTTCATGGCTTCGAATTGAAAAACCACACCGACCATGTTCATTGGCCCTACTAAGATCAAATCAACTCACTTGAATAGCAGGCATCGCCTTCGATGGGCCAACATTTCGAATAAGTTGGTCAACCATATCAGGTTGTCTGCACTCACATAGTCTCGATGCCATGGAACAGTCTATTGCTAGCACTTCTAATTTCCGTATCACTGGTTCAGGGGGTCGCCGCGGCATGCCTCTGAAAATGGAACTATTACTTCCTCAGCATTATTTATCCCCTATAAGAAAATAGTCGTTGAACCATGCAAGTAAATTCAAAGTGTTCTCCATTTATGACAGAATGAACGATGAATTAACAATTTAATTTACCGTGGCTGATTGAAACAGATCGTTCCTATCAATTTCGAGCTTTCTTCCTCCATACTACACTTCGAAAGGAAGGATTCCATTGCCAAGATGGCCTGTAAAAAAATATAATCCTATTCTGATTTTTTTTTTCAAAGCTACTCGTGTGCCCGGCTGAATGTAATTGTATTTGTAAGTTCTCAGTAGCTCCTAACTCATGGCCTGCCTCTAATTATTGTTAGACCTGTCATCCAAGTCACTGTTGTTGATGGTTCTCGCTTTCACTCACGCTTTCACTCCCACGTTAGGCCTGTTTTCAAACCTTCTGTCTCACGACCCACCATGGCCCGAGTATGGATGCCTTAACCACTCGCACTTACACAGGAGTAGTCAATATCAATAAAAATGTGAGCATGTTATAATATGAGAACATCAGCCAATTGCTTTACACGATAGAATCTTCTATCGTGTAAGGCAGCAGAAGATGCAGATTCTATCACGATAGAATCTGCATCTTTTTATGTTTGATCAGTTCCTGGAGTTTTGTAGATGCCTCGAGCTATGGTACCACTTTGAAATAAACAATCCGATGCGCAACTATTGCTATGAATACAGACTCAAAAGAATCTCTTCTTCATGTCATTTCTCACAAAGAGGGTGCCTTTTGCTTCGCCATTGTGGTACCTTCGCAAAATTTTGAAGAACACATTGACTTTCCCCGACCCAGAAGTGGCAATATACATAGACCGATTACAATCTCTTCGCATTGACTGACCCGTATGCATTCATGCTAGGTGTTTGACTGACCTCTTTCTCCTTTTCGGTGGTTTCCGCTTCCACTGCTTCCCATTCCTCAGGTGTTTTTCCTTCAAATTCCAATGGAAAGCGGAATGACCTAAAACTGCCTCATAGCAATGTAGCAAAAATAAGCATACAACGACCGCTAACTTTACGAGAACCATATGGATGAACAGGCGGAGTTGCGGATACGTGCTATAAATCTTCTCCATTTCACTGCCAACTTTCCCTTAAGCAGTACATTAGCTTACAAAATCTGAACCGCTGAATCCAATTCTTGCCTGCGCACGCCCACATCATCACTATATACCATGCTTTCCAGTAATATTTCTTCGTCGCAAAACAGTTGAACTCATCTCTAAATAAAGTGCTAGAGAAGTATGCCATTGAAAAAACAAATGAGAGAGCAACCCACGGCATAGTCACTCCAGGTTGACAGCGATATCCACTGAGCTGGAAGAGTCTGTCAATCAACTGCACCGGATTAGATAGAGCTATCAGAGGAAGATGAGCATCTGTAAGCATCTCTTTTCGTTACTAAAAAAAGATTAATAAAAAGCGATCTCTCATAGCACTAATCGTTACTATACATTGATGGTTACCATTTGAGTGGTATCGATCTACATAATAATATCTACTGATTAATATAAATCGGTTGTGATATCCGATCAAATATAAAACACATCTACACTGACGGGTTGTCCCATATCCGTAATTGAGACAGAAGACAAAGCCATTCAATACATGTTAAATTGATTTTATAAATTTGAAGAAGCACTTTTTCTCAGGAACATCCCCGAGGAAACTGTGAAAAGGAAGATTCTTAATCTTAGATTGAAGAGGACACAAAAAATATTAGAACTCAGAATGAAACACCGCTTGAAACCAACAAGATAAAAACAGACCTGCTGCTACGCGATTTTCTACAGCTCGCTTGGTCAAGCCTTCAATTAGGCGTATAGCCTCTTGATTATCTAACATTGTTATGTGTTCGCCGAGAATCTATAAGCACATCATAGGCGTCATGCGTTCAAATGGCTCCTTCACTTACAATCAGTGCGCTCACCATTTTCAAAATACTTTCCTTCAGTCGACATTCACAAATCACTTTGAAGCACGTCATATACTCCGCCTCCGTTGGACCTTGTTCCAGAGCGCAGTATACTTCCGGCTGAAAAATCTCATAAATGTTCTTTGCACAGCATACCTATAAGGCACTAATACAGCTCAGCTTATTTAAACGTGACTTACTCTCTCCATAAAAAGAAGTTTATGATATGCTTGGAGATATTCACGAGCAGATGGAAATATATGCCGAACACCTTGTAACCATCTAAACCACTTTATAGTTTTCCAACAACTCTAACAAAGTGATACTGATTGGTTGTCAGTATTTGGGGCACCAGAGTTGGCACTAATGCATTGGAAGAAAAAAAAGACCAGCCTCACTATCCCTTCCAAATACTCCGACAGAGCGTTTTCGAAGCGATCGTGAACCAGGACAAGATCAGGAGTATAGTTGGAACCGGTGCGACGAGCATTGAAGGCTTCACGTACTGACGCACTGATTGACATCAACGTAACAGCACTCAACAACTCTGATGCGCATCGAAACACGTGATCCTTAATCAACAGTAATAAAGCTGATGATGAAAAATGCTTGTGTATTACTGGAGGGCCATTCTTTGATTGTTCCTGTAACAAAATTTCATAAATTACGTCAGCTTTTTGTAGAACTCAAGTTAAATGGGACGCTAGGCCAAATGTAAGTTGATCAACAACAGCTCTTTCTCTCAGTTTCCTTTTCTACGAGCAAGTANTAAGGCTGCAAGACCACCCGACTTCACCCTTAGCAGCCTATACTGCTCGATGGACTTTTCAGTTTAATGTTTGAAGGCAGGGAATAAACAAAAACTTCGTACCTGGATTCCGTGTTCACTCTTAGCCACCTCATCCACTATGGTTGAGAGATAGCTGTTAGCCAAAGTGTAGAACGGGAACTCGTTGCGATGGAAGAATCGTATGATTTCACGGAGCAGTAGACGCACCGGTTTGCAATAATCCTCTCGGGCCATGATCATCTCCGAAATTTCCTCACCGAGAACCTTTAAAAGTTGCACTTTTGAAACGAGACAAAGAAGTTCAACATCTAAAATGTAGTATAATAATGAGCAATACAATGAATGATTGTCACTTACTGGTGATCATAATGTTTAATCGTTAAATTTCGAAACCCTGACTAATAAACAAACTCTGTCGAAATAGGAAACAAAACTCACTTCTGCTGTTCTTGTTCTATCAAATCCAAACATACTGATGAGTATAGAAACATTGTGGGGGTGTCTGAAATAGGATTCCCGTTGGAACTTTAAGCAACACTTAATTCAAGGATAGAGCTCGCAACTTTGGAATTAACCAAAACGGCTATCGAAATTCTCATACTGCACAAATAGTTGACCGCCGAGTCTATATATGACTATATATGGCATATCACTAAGCAGAGCAAGATATTAAGATAAATGATTAAGATAACATTCAGGCGAAAAAAAAACGAACAAACCTTGACATAACGTGGCCGAACTCATTCTCCAATAGCAACCGAATTGCTGTACGCATATTACAGTCGTTTTTACGTACCAACATTTCGCGCAGGGAAACGGTGAACACAGAGGTTACCTGAAACCACAAGCAGCATCTTTACTATAACAAACTCTCGCTCAGGGTCACGAAATTCGCCGTTTGAAGTAGATAGGTTTGCTTCGGGGTTAAAACAACAGGATGCATTTGCGCTTAGCGAAGCTCTGACTACGAAGGGCGATACATACGCCAAAATAAGTAGTGTAGAGGACAAAACTCCCTGAAATGGTTCCACGGGAAGAAAATGGACAACGGTGAAGAGTTGGTTAACAAATGAAACGAAGACCCACACACACAGTGGACGAGGCGTCTAGTCACTACATACATTCTTAACTAAATTTCAGGGAACTCTGTGGACCAAAAAAATCCATGAAATGAGCAGTCTGATGCCTGAATAAAAAAAGTTACCACTAGAAGTAGAGTGTCCACAATCTAAACAAAGGGGGATAGAGACTAATAGGGGAAGTGACGTTGACTGGTCAGTTAGAAGGAAAAGCTCTGCGCTGGCGGATTTGTGAGCAATTTACAGAACCCTGGAAATGTGGATATGAACTGACAGAATAGAAAAGTTCACGATCAAGGAACTGTGCATGGATCATGAATTGAAAAATTTCAACCGTACGTCGAGAAGCGTGCCTTCTTAGAGTAAGAGATTGGTCAAAAATGATGTGGGATGACCCAAAGGTTTATCCCGCGATCCCGAAGGCGTCCGGTACGCAACGTGTTAAGCTACAATCCTTTAAAGAAGTATAAATGACCATGAAGATTAAGCTGATAACCATATTAAAAGTTTGAATCATAACAATAAAAGCAGAAAAATTCACGATCCTGTCTGCTAAAAGATAGGAGAATAGCGATGTGGTATAAACAGGACGTCAATTTCGCACGCGTTAGCCAGCGACAGCTCAATTGATATTTCATTGAATGGGAACACAGAAAAAATATAACCAACATTTTTGTTCTTAAGCATCCTCATCTGTAACAACCGAGCCAGAACAGACTTTTCTTGAGCAGAATCTGAGGCATTTCCGTAATTCAAGCCCACAAGAATCAAAAGTTGAAGGGCTAGTCGTTGGAGCTGAAATGTTGTGCATTCGGTTATATTGTCAACCAGAACAACGAAGTGTGCTGATTGGATTTGAAAAACTATGAACAAAACACAAAAATGCAAACGGAAAGGGTATGACAAAGAAAGAAATGTGGCGCATCGAATATTTAGGACTCTCAAGAGAAAGCAGTGGGACGCTATCGTAGCTAAGCCTCCTTTACGAAAAGAAATTTATAAGTGAGAGTTCGGAAACTGCAGAATTGTACGAGTTCATTTGCAGCTAAACCCTTGCTGACTCACTAGCAGACTTTCGTTATTTTTCCTCCACATTTAATGTACTTTCCCGAACAAACAAAATCCTACCTTCACGTGTTGCAGCCACCCATCAATTCGTTTGACCACGTTGAAACGGACCTCTGGAAGAGCCATAAGGGGCGCTATTGCACGTAAGAAAAGAGCAGGAGTATTATCCGCTCGCATGTCCCACCACGGCGCCAGTGCGTTGAGAGCTATTGCGGAAATTTCTTCTTTTGCTGTTGCAGATGGAAAACGATCGCTGGCAAGCTGCATGCAATAAATCTATAAATCTCGACAAATACAACTTAAAAGTAGGCATAAAAAACCCGTGACGAAGAAAAGGCTGTGAGCAGTTAACATACAGCGAGACCTTCCGGTATAAAATCGAGATCCATTTCAAGATTACAAGCAGTAAACATATCCTTCGTTGGATAGATGGTGCCAAAGCCTTTCACAATTTGTGAGGCTATGAATGAAGAGTTTGGCTGAAATGCGAACAGATAGTAACACAAAACATATTTAGTTTTCGGTTTATTGCTAAGTCAGCTTTTTCAGTATACTTACCTTATACACCCAATTGCGGTCTCCAAGAGAGTCGTGGAGGTACGCCGTCACGTAGTACGGATCCCAAACCGGTTGACCACTTGCTAAGGTGACTACTATTGCAGATATCAACCCTTGCCTTTCAGATGTCATGGGCTTCATGCGGCACATCAGATTCAGCAAACACTTTTGCAAGGCAACATGCTAAAATGTCTAGAAATTTCTTCTTGTGTAAACTTTGGAAGATCATCACTAGCGAACCTGTATTTTCTCATGGTGCTCTTTGATGGTGAGAGCAGCGATAGTGAGTAGTTGGTACTCGATGTTGAATTTGCTCTGATCAGATTTCTTATCGATAAAAGTGCGAAACGCTGCTGTGAGTAATCGGGCCAACTGAATGGTATAATATCGTTACTTAGAAACGTCGTGCTACAAAGAAGCTCCCTCACCTTATTCATCTTGCCCTGTTCGATAGACTCCTGGATAGAAGTGGCGTAGGTTGAAAAGTCGATGGTGGTCATTTCACAAAAATCCCGCCATGATTCATCCAACGGAGGGCGAGCACCGACAGGTAAGCCTGGTCCCGCTAAATGATATCACTCCTCGTTCCGATGGAATCTTCTCAACTATTTGAGAGCCCTTTGAATTAAATTTAACGAGAATATCTGACGTTTGCGTAGGTTAAAAACAATTTTTAGAAAAGAGCTAACTTGAAACGCTGCCGAGTGAAGAAGATGAAGAAGTTGATGGGAAGACTGACTGAAACAAATTACTCAAGTAAAACGAAAACCATGAGAAAAGTACTAATGTAAAAGCACGGACTGATAGTCAAGTGTCAAACTACAAGGTAAATCATTGATTCTGAAACAATATGAACGCACTGCCTTTTTAAATGAAACCGTAAATCACTTAGCATTCGGAAGACCGCCTTGCCCGCACAGTAAGCAAACGACCGTTGTTTTTGCCTCACCTTCTGAAGAGGCTTCACCGGCTTCGTGGCTAAGCTTTTCGGTGCCAGTACTCCGGAAGGAACGCTTTTCATTAATCCTTTCGACTTTACTTTCGATTTCAACGGAATCATCCTGTAATCAAACAGTTCGAGGGCACTCTCGCAGCTTTGCTCGAAAATGCGACAAAAACAGGAATCAAGAAACTCGGTTATTGATGACACAAGACCTTAAACTTCTCAATCGCGAAAAAATCGAACACTCATTCAAAATCTGAGTAGAGACAGTTAATCTGTAGGGCTACACAATGTAGCAAATGAGGCTAGTCAGATTTGGATAGCAATCCACAGCGAAAAACGGATCAAATGTCAAATTATTTTAAATTATTAACAAGATCATTATCAATATCAAATTAACAATATAAAGGATCGAACACAATCTTCACTGAGATAGTCTAAAAGCAATACAAACATCACATGCCACTCGATAAGCACACAAATAAGGCTATAAATACTAACACAGGCAATCATAATCAAGAAACCACTTGCACTGCTTCGATTAAATATTACGGTACGTCAAACATTGTGTAGTTACACAACTGACCAACAAATACGGTTACGGACCGTTGTCAACCGCGTGTGTAGTGACTAGTGGTTTGCCGGTTTGGCTCAAACTAAAGGTGCCGCTACCCCAATTCGGTTCTGCTTGGCCACCTTCTACACGACGGTTTCGAATTTTCTCTTTGTTCAAATCATTTTAACACCTTTAGCTTCTGTTCTTGGAGGCGATCCACGTCTTGACATCGTCCATCGAGTCATCCATTTCGTCGTAAGTTCTGTTGGCTAGCCTATTTTTCAACGAACGTTTGACGTGATTATCCGCAGAAGCAACTATCGGTGAATCTGACGGATTTGGGGGCAGATCTCATTATTTGCTTATCTTTGACTGATTGTTCCATCCCGAAAAGTTCGCTGAGATCGCGAAATGACTCTGCCACCTCCCAAACTTTCTCGAAGTAGTAGAGCACAATGTGGCGAATATGAAGATGACTTTTTGAATGCATTTTGTTGAGTAAAGCGAGAGGATGATTCCTATAAAAATTACGAATCTAATGTTTGAATTCTATCGAGAGAAAAAAGCCGCGAAAAAACCCGCAATAATTATGCATCAACCTAATATTTAGTTGAAGGCTCGCTGGTCTAAGTTGCAGCTAGTTAAGTGTTTGAATGTGTCGAAAGTGTTAGGTAACACCGTGGTAATAGCGCTTTCAGGTTTCTGAGGAACGGCCTTGTCGAAACGTCCGGCACGTAAATATGATATCTTATCATTCAACCCTCCTCGGCACATAAGCATTGAATTTGTATAATATAGCAGATGCCCAGGTTTCAAGAAAGGCCAATCTAGAGATTATTCTAGAATAAGCTTCCCACTTGTTATGTCGGTTTGTCTATTTCTTTTCTGGTCTGCATATTTTTGCACTTTTTGGCTTTTTGGTAGTTGTGATAGGGGATCAACCATCGGAATCTAACCTCTTATAAAAGCAGGGAATCGAGTCGTCTTCCAGTATCCAATCAACCCTACGTCGTGTTCATCAGCATAGCAGTAGGATCGGCCGGGTTCCCCCTTTTTCTTTCATTGAATGAACAAAGTTACTATTAGACATGAAAGCCTTAGTGCGTGAACCCCGCGGGAATTACAAATTCTGCACAGCTCTTCAAGAATAGGACCTTTCCATGAACAGAGCTAAGCATCTAATTCTCAACATTCGGTTACACCCACATACGTTCCTTGTTGCGAACTCACGATTCGTGTTCCTCATCTTTTCAATATTCATGGGTCACTTATATCTGTATTGCATTACCGTTGTGCAACTTTTCTGTAACCAAACGAGCTCCTGATTAGTCCACTAAATTGTAGCTACATACTGTCGACAATGACGAATCAGTTATCGGAAGTCGTAATACTAGTTCCATTTGTCCACATTCCCATTTCAACGGTGGTGGGCTAAGTTCTGTCGCGCTTAATACTGGAACAAAGAAAAACGGGATCCTCTATCGAATCCCAAACCTTAAGGTACACAGATGTTGCAATCTGGGAACAACAAATGAACCAATGTTCTTCTGCAATGGTATTTGCTTAAAAGGGCAATTATCCCCCACAAGACCATTTTGAATCGCACACTACTACACTATCCCCGATGACTTATTGTGTGAAACCTACTAAAGTGTCGCTAACACATCATAAATGCAAAAACCTCCAGTGGCTTAGTAGTACTTGCCATCTAGGTCCCGTGTCGGCATTTATCCCCCGTTATTTCCATCAGCGTTATTCCCATTAGCGGAGGTGGTGTAGCGGCAAGTGGCGCACTATATCACATGTACGGTCGCGGGTTCAAATCCTCGATAGATACCCGCCTAGGAGAACCAAGCCACCCATCCCTCCGCGGTCAGTTAATTGGTACTCGTCTGGGAGGATAAAAGCGCTGACTTGCCCATAGGCTGGCCACCGCAAGTCATTGTATAGGCCATATACGCATTCAATACGCCATTACGGTTCTGATTGGAAGTCGAATGCGGGAGCGCATCCCTCAGACGGGATTTATTAACGCCAAAGGACTTTATCCTTTCTTCCATCAACCTAGCTACAATCACACCCTGTAATCTGAAGTAACAATTCACCACTGTTAGTACGAAAACATGTAGGGATCTAGTGCCTCTTGCGTTTACGCCAAATAGCGGCTCTGTCATGTGTACTTCTTACCGAACATCCATGATCTGAACTTTGCTGTCAACGCGATAGTACAACTTTTGCAATAGCTCTTGTCTAATATGTTTCTTTATCAGCTCTTATCAGTTGTTACCAGTTCTAGCATCGTGATCTGACCACCACATCCGCAACACATACCAAACTCTTTTTCTTTATCTCATATCTCGAGGTTTCACCGTTAAAGCGAAAGTGGTAAAAAATGATTTCCGCCTTATAAGGCTTATTACTAGCCCCTACTAGTTTTCATCATTTTCTCTCGCCCACCATCAGCGTTTCCTGAATAAATTTGAACACTTAAGCACCCAGGAAACAGGAATCACGAACATCCACACAAACAAACTTACACACTTAGCGAGTTATATGTAGTCGATTGTTGTTTTTCTGATTTTGCCTAAAACACCCGTTCGTTACTTTCATTATTTTGCAGCCACTCCAAGCGGTTGTATTGCCCATTACTCGAAAGCGTACGTAGTATAGTTCGTATTAAGTTTGTACTAATTTGTATTTCCGTGATAGGTCTTATATAGCAATTTTCAATAATTCAACCTATGCATATGTAAAAAGCACTTAAGTTATGAAATGAGTATGTTCAGAGATGCCTGGAGCTGAATTTATTCGAGTAACTGCAAGGGTGCGTCCATCGGCTTCTTCTAGAGCCCAGGAGAGAATAACTAACGTACTCGATGACAAGAATCTATGGTTAGGTTTTCTTTAGATCACGTTTATTTTGGGCTTCATTCGTTTCATTGGTCGTTTTAAGCTTCGATCCACGTAATCCAAGAAACTTCACATTTGATGCTGTTTTCAACGAAACTGTCACTCAGGTGTTGAACTTGATTTCAATTGGCAATCCTTGTACAATTCTAAATCTTTTTTTGCGGTTTAGGAAGAAGTTTTTGAAAGAGTGGCCGGTCACATCATCGACGGTTGTGTAAATGGTTTTAACGGAACGATATTCGCATATGGTGAATTCTCTTTACATTTTACAGACTACTTGGAAAAGTAATGCTCCCTGTTTCAGGACAAACTGGCTCTGGAAAGACACACACGATGCTGGGGCCCTCTCAAATCGAGAACTTTCTCCTGAGTCCTGAGCATAGGGGACTCATTCCTAGGGCATGTGACGCGCTCTTCACGAAGCTGTGTACTAAGGCGGCCGAGGTTTCACGAGTCCCAGTGTTGCTATATTATGTGAATAACGCGTAGATTTACTTCAGAGCGACAACTTCAAATACGAAGTCGTATGTCGGTTTGTGGAGCTTTACAACGAAGAATTCTACGATCTCCTCAGTAGTTCACAACAAAAGCTGTCAATCCGGAGCGATTCAAATGTAGTTGCCTGCTTATTTCTATCTAGTTCATTGTGTAGACGTTCTCTATTTTGAGGTTGTTCAACTACTTGGTGTAACTGAGCACTCAGTGCAATCAGGAGTCGACCTAATGAGGGTAAGCTTCACTCAACAATTTCAATCTAATCCGCTTTTCCGAGGGATTTTTTTTTCAACGAGTTTGCGATTTCTATCAAAGGTGTCGTTTTATCACTCATAGTAAAGATTGAGTTGTACATACGTTTCCCAGTTCGATATACTCCTTCTGCTTCCACTGCTAGCTTTCTCATGATATGTTGCTCGCGTGCAGTCTTAGAGGAAAAGGTAGCCAGCAGTTGTGGAAGAAATCGAATACTACTAATCAAAACTAAGCTAAATGAAATGTGGTGACCATGGGTACTAGCAGTCTCATTCTCATTTGTTCATTTTCTATTAAACTGGAGTTCCTCCAACCAATTTTAGATATTGGAAGTCGGGTGGGACGCACGGAGAACAGCAGAAACGGCCATGAATCGGGAATCCTCAAGGTCGCATGCCATTTTTATTATTGATGTAAGATTTCGTTTTTTCATGTGGAGATCCATGTGTTGTTGCATTCATAGTACCGACGGGAACGTCAGTGTCGGACATCGGTAGACATCCCGCAACATGGTGTTGATGGCTCATGTTGTTTCTAAGGCTTTTTTTCGAGCTTCAAAAATGAATTGTTGTTTATTGTTGATTGTGCTCGAAGTCGTTAGATCTACCGTCAACCTTCGAGATGGTCATTGATCTGGTATCGGTACCATGAATGCAGCCTACTATTAGGCCAAGCATTAAAGCCCATTAGGCCAAGCATTAAAACCGCTCCATTTAACATCCGAGTTTCAGGTGAAAACTGAGAAGCTGGTCAATACCATTGTAATTAAGAAGTGTGCCACGTTGAATTTAGTTGACCTGGCAGGTTCAGAGAGGCAATCGCATGCAAAAACTGTTGGAGAACGATTCAAAGAGGCTATAAATATCAATTTGGTGGGATTTATTTATTCTCGATTCATTTATTTCACTTTTTTGAATCGCTTCCCCACAAGCACTCTAGTATGGAAAATATTTTCAGTCGCTTAGTGTGTTGGGTCGCGTAATCAGAACGCTGTCCACAGTACATAGACGTGACGAGTTCGTGCCATATCGCGATTCTAAGCTGACTCACATTTTGCGAGATTCCCTCGGAGGAAATAGCAGGACAGCAGTGATTGTTAATCTTCATCCCGACATTGAGTGAGTTAGATATCCTTCTCACTCAATATATATGTTCATCCACCATCCGATTGATCAGCAAAGAGACAAAATAATTAGAACAATAACTATGACGTGTGATGTGACATGAGGAGAGTGTGCAAGTTCGACATAGCCGCCCGAGATGAGTTGAGCATGATCTGATACTTCTTCCGACGGGGTTTATCCATCAGGTTTCCAGATGTGCTGAACTACTCTATGACAAGTGGGTTCTGTGTGGGGTGAACATGCTTTTTGCTTCTCGAGAATGCCATACCTTCATCTTCCATAGAACTTCTACGTTTTTATCCACTGTTATTTTAAAAATATCACCATTATGAAAGATCCTAGACATTTTTGTTGCGTTTCTTTTTTCAATGTTCTTGTATGGTTTAACTATTCTCGAAGAGCTCGCAGTGCTGTTTTAATGGCAGATGATCAGTATGGGGCGTACTCATCTATTAACAGTCTCGGATTTTTTTTAAATATCCAGAACACCTCCGAAGTTCTTTTTTTGAAATATCTTTTTCTTTGCTAATATCTTTCTTGCACTTTAGTTTGAAGTTATAGCAGCTGTGCCCCTCAACTTTGAACGAACATTAGAAAAATAATAATTCTCTCTTCCACGGCGACTGGCGCTCTCGCACGACTGTCATTGCACAAGAAAATGTTGTGGAACTCGGTTGGGAAGAAGCGTCACAACCACCTTGCCCTGCGGACTGATCGCCGTCTGATTATCATTCACTCTGGTGCTAAAACATAATCAAGTGTGCAGCAAATGTGATAATCGACTTGAACTGAGAAGTAAAATCGAGTGCTCTCTTTTATCTCAGCCTTTGTGATCTCAGAGGAGCAGAGCTAAAGAGCTGCCGAATAATGCACATATGCCCGTGATATAACTACTGTTTATCTTATCGACTAACGCTCCGAGTCTGGCCTGTTTCAAGAACATCTTTTCAAAGATTTGTTCGAATATTTGCTCTCTTCACCGGTCATGTATAGGGTATGGTGGAGCATAGATTATGAAAGCCTCACAAGTTTCACGAGTTATGGACCATCCTTCGGTTTAGGATGGGGCTAGGAAACCATCTTATCCCTTACACTTGAGTCAATGTGTTTCAATTCACACTGTCCCACCTTTCCTATCATCTTGCATTCTTGAAAAAGAGCTACGATAGAAAATATCATCGGAAATAATCGTTCATTCAAAATCATTTTAAAGTCATGCCATGTCATTATTGGGGAGGTCTGGTTTTAGATACTACTCGGATACGTTGTCTGCACTGCAGTTCGCAGCTGCTTGTCGAAAGATAGAAAATCGCGTTCATGCCAATGAGGATCTATCTGGAGACACCGTCATGGCATACAAAAGTGAGATATCTCGTTTGCGCGCTGAGCTGGATACAAAAGAGGAGCAAGTACGTTCAGGTAAATCAATTCGAATAGGCATTTACATAGGTATGCACTTCGATGATTTTGATCATTTTAGAAATGGCTGTAAAGGTGAAATCACTCGAAGACGAATTGAAGCTCTGGAAAGATGCTGCCATTTCTCGGGAAAAACAACTAGTTGAAGCGCAGTTACAGCGGGATTTGTTTGCCGCAAGGCTTACGAGCCAGACATCTGGAGAGGGGGATGCGAAGGTGAGGCTACTTTGATATAAATCACACAAGTTGATAATCACATTTTTTTTTAGTCACAGGAAGAAATTATGAGCGAGATAGGGTCACAACTATTGGCAAGAATTGATTCAATTAAGACATTCCAAGAACTTTCAAGGGTTCAGCTCGAAAACGACTTATCTAGCGTGCGTTTCATAATCTCGCTTTCTTTTCTTTTGAATCCAGAATTTCGCCTCAGTCCCGTCGTATGATGATGCACATAAGTATCTTAACTTGGTTACGTCGTTCAGGTTCAACGTGAGCTGGATCAGATGCGGCTGCAATTTGAAAGTGCTGAAGCTGCTAGGAAAGCTCTTAGCGAGAAGTACAACAGCGCCCTTGAAGGTTATGACGTGGCCGTTTCACCACTTCGACGTCTCAATCTGAATACGGTTAGTTTGGATGTCGTGGCCTTGTTGATGCAGGCAGCTCGAATTTTCCAGAGAGCTGAGTCAGTTGAATAGGACTTCGCATCTGGTGAATCCTTTTCACTTACGCCGTTCCAAATTTGCTGCTCCTGCAGCTTATGAAGGATTTCTCACCGAAGCTTACGGAAACACGCTAGACGTTGATGGAAGTATAAGCATTATTTATTGTATTCTGACGCACTTGAATAGCACCATCTAGGCAAGGGCGAAACTGCCCAGTTTGTTCAAGTTCGGCGATCTCAATTTGGTAGATCTTTTCACAGAATCCTTATATTCTCTCACCTATTAGTTGAGTGAGCTGATTCAGAGCAGAAGAGTTGGTACTGAATGCAAGACTCCAGCTCAACTAAAAAAGGAAAGGCGAATGACAATGTTTACACCACCAAGAAATCAGCCCAACAGAAAATCTCGAGCTTTCAAGCCTGTTCTTTTCGATGACAGTGATGAAGACGAAATGCCGGAGCAGCTGGTATGCTTATGAAAACTAGTCTCATGTTGTCGATTGACTTAGAATAGACAACGGAGATGCATAGGGTGCAGTTTCTTTATCGCAATGTCGCTTTTGTAGAATATCGAACAAGACCCAGACATGGTTGAGGAACGAGAGTTACTTCGCTTGGAAATGGAGAACAATAGACTGACACAGCTCGTTAGTGATAAAGAAGCCAAGATCAATGAGATCTATGACGCTCAAAAGATCCAAGCACAGCAGTGGATAGAGGAGCGGATGCAATTGCTTGAAAGGTGCGTTCCCATATGGATAATGATGCTATAAGAACATTTCCTTCACAGAATAACTTCTTGTAGTGAATCGTCGTTAAAGTCCGAAGTCGAGCGCCTTGAGTTCGAAAAATCGCAGATGGCTGAAAATCTGGAACAAGCTCATCAGCGAATCGATTTGCTGAGCACAAAAATTTCTACCTTCAATGATGAAGTGATTGTTGTTACCACATTTGTGCACTCTTTTCTGTGTGTTTGTACAGCCTTGTATTCTTAAGAGGTGCTGTCTGCAGCAAGAAATCGACAAAATGCGAGCAGAAAAATTCGATCTCGAAGACCTGTTGCAAGGTTTGCATTGCTTTATCGTTCCATACTTACCGTTTATGTTCTCATAACTGTTTCTAGGAGTTCAAAACGAACAGGAGCACCTTTTAACTGAACTAAGGAGCATAAGAGATGCGGTATTGTATCCTACGACTATATTGATCTTTTGTCATCCTCCATGTATTTGAAATTTACACCTTTCCAAGTAGAGAAACTTTTTAGGAGTTGTCGAAAGCTGATTTGGAAGCACGCCTTTCCGAGGAGCAGGTCAGGCACAATTCACTCAAGGTAAGTTTCATGACTACCTGTGTTTGCTATAATTACATTGTCTATGTTCCTTTCGCATTATTTATGCGAGGACATTTTTTTAGGAACTGCTTGAAGTGAAGACAAAAGAGGCAAATGAAGCAACTGCGCTCCTTCAACAAACTGGGCAAGAATATAGAGCGGTAGAACTTGAGAACGATGAGTTAAAGGTGTAGAAATTTGACACAGTTATTTGGTGATTGTTTCAGAAATATCGGTGTTGTGAGCTCCAGTTTTAGCTTTCACTTACGTTAGCATCCATAATCGATTTCAGAGAACATTGGAACTGGAAAGGGAAAGAAATTCGAAACGTGAACACGATCTCATCGAGGAATTCAGCGAAGTGAAGAGACGGTGAGCATCCAAAGCGCTCTAAACTTCGATGTGTCTATGTACACTGTTAATGACATCACCGTTACAGGATCGCTGAGGACTTGCAGAAAGCGGAGAAGATGCTTGAGCAGGAGCGCCACGCGCATGAGGAATTGAAGGTGGTTCTGCGTGATTAGGGGTATTGAGGGTGGGGAAGTCTTACAAAGAAGCAAACCTGTAAAAGAGACGGTAGAAGTGAGTAAAATAAAAAGATTGGAGGCCAATGGAATACGAAGCAAGGAGAACATAGCATATGGAACACTATAACGGAGTTGTAGATGTAAGGCTACTTTGCCATATGTCTTTTGGGTCTTGCAAGGTTCGGGTTAATGCTGGAATCACCCTTGGCTAGACTCGAACAGGGGCAGTGGACAATACACTTAATTGGTATGGTGCACACTAACAAAATAAAACAATGAGAGTCTCTCCACGAAATGAAGTCGTACAATAGAAACAAATACGAACAATATCTATATCGTATCTTTTTTTGCTTGACAAGATGCGAGTGAATCAATTATCGTGGTTTTCACTGAACGTGAGGTATTACAGAGGAGTTTTAACCAAGTCCAAGAGAGAAATGCGAAAATGGAGCGTGAGCTCGCAGATGAGGTGAACAAGCTGAAGAGACGGTAAACACTTGCAATGTGTTTCGCCCGCGACTCTCAATACCTTCGTTTTTTAAGCCATGCCGACGAGCTGAAAAATTCGGAAAGACTGGTCGAATTAGAGCGCAGTGCCCATGAGCACACTAAGGTATGTTTAGATGAAACTTCTCATTTGCCCGATGGGAAATTCCAAGGAAGTTTGGAAGAAGGGATGTAAAATCTTGTTAACTTCACTGCATTTCGATAGTTTGGATAAACCAGGATGACAGTATCGTACAAAATAAGTTTTTCGAAACTCAGTTATCTCTCAGTTAGTCTTAAAACTCAGTCTCGAGAAATGTTGTTTTTCTACCTTTTTTCTACCTCTTTCTTGACGTGCTTAACTTTTAAGCAGCAGTTTTCTACATACCGGGATTCGATGCAGCAGTCTATGGGTCAGAAATTAGCCGAACTTCAAGAGTGAGTTATTCTATCCTCTTTCTCATCTTCGTTGTCTGCCTTCTTTCCTTTGGAAAAGTTTCACTTCTTGCCTTTGCTTCTCATTTTGCTGAGCGTTCTCCTCACTTCAGGTCGTTCGTAAGCAAAGAAAGACGACTCACCACTGATATGTCGGATAAAGATCAACAAATCATACAGCTTCAAGGAGAGAAAGAGCTGTATGTCTATTAAGTAATTCGGTGTTTTTCAATTGTATGTTTTCAAGCTTTGCTTCTAACTTGATATACTTCAAGGCTGTGCTGTCGCCTGTGTGAAAAGGAAAAGCTTCTCGAGCTCAGTAATAAAAATCTGGAGAAGAGCGAAAAGGTTATTTTGTTTTCATACTGAATGCCTCGCTATCTATTCATAAATCTGGACGCTTTGTGCATGGTATATTATACGAACCCGTCAACTGAAAGATATGTTTTACTCGTTCAGGAGCTGGAGGTCTTGCGCGCCGCCAAGGCAGAAGGGGATCGTGCCATAAAGGAACTCGCAGGTCATCATAACCAGAAGCAGAAGGTATGCTGTTGATTAATTGCCAAGAGAAGATCTTCAAGATTTGTGTTTGGCTCTCCATTTTTTGAACCATAAGTTAAAGCAATCCGATTCCTTTTTCAAGATCAGTTACTTGGAGAAGGTTCGTCTTGAAAATTACAACCTGAAGAACCAGTGCGCTCAACTCGAAGCTGAATTGAAGAACTATCAGAATATGAATGGCAAACGAACACGGGGTAGCCATGAAACATTACCTGGGCCTTCGACAAGAAGCCGAAGTGCACGTGGAAATCCTAGTTAGTTGGTTTCTAACGTTCCCTTAGAAGAGGGATTTCCATTGCTTTTGTTGTGCTGGTGTTTGATTCTACCATGATCTCATAAGCTACCTCAGCGGTTTCAAATCACAACTCGATATGCACTCGTTCAGTTCTAGTTGAATGTGTTTAGTGATTAAATTCGGCGTTCCTATTGTTTTAACTTCAGTTTAGTTCTCAGTTTCATATTTCATATGGGAAAACGTTTCTGTGAAGTGTGCGTGTATATTACTTTGTCTTTGTGCTACATATTACTTAACATAGAGCTTACAATTGATTGTATTGCATGCATGTGAAATGTATAATGGATAAAGTTCAGGTTAACATTTTCAGATAATGTTCCTAAGAGGCGTGTTGCTGCGTCGTGCTACTTGTTTCTTGGAAGTAGTCCAGGTAGTGGATGTCTCCAATATGTAGACTGTTGTGCATTCTGATTACGCGTTGCCACAATGGAGAAGCCCTATATTAGCTGCATAAGCTTCCTTGTCCAACCTGAGCGCGACAGTAAGCCATTGCAAGGTCTGGGTGCAGCCAGAGAGTAAAATAACGAAATTCAGGGCGGAAAGCCTGCTGCTTCCGTGGCCTTATCGCGAAATAGAGTGAAACAAACGAAACAGTATTCCACGATGATTTAGACTATGGCTAGCCTAGCCTTAACATTTCAATTCCATCGCACATGCGACACATAGAATAAACGTCTCGCGACCATGTAATCTCCATACAGGTAGGTGAAGTAGCTACCACTAGCTAGTAGTAGCTAGTAGAAGTAGTACGCACGCTAACGCGTGTTCAGTGCAGACCGTAGAGAAGGTTCTTAAACGACACAGAAGCGAAACCAGTTTAAGGCAAACTGGGAAGCAGTATAAGGGCTAGTGCTTCCAAAGATTTCACTATTCTTTGTTTGCGAGTTGATCGTGGTCCTCGGTGACCCATGAGAGGAAAGACAGTTGAGCACGACTCAACGAGGTTTTTTTTCTTTTCTTTCAATAAAGAGCTTGCTATTTACTTTTTGTATTTACCCTCTTTTACGCCATTATTGCTTTTAAAAGATGCTGGCTGCAGCAAGAAATCCATAAAATATGAGAAGAAGAATTCGAAGACCCTTCGCAAAGTTCGCATTACTTTATCATTTCTGTTATTACGATTCTCACAATGTTGATTCTTGCAGTTCAAAAAGAACAGGAGGAGCTTCTAACTGAATTGGGAAGCATGATAGATGCAGTATTTTATCCTACGAATGCTGGTCTTTTGTCATCCATCCTTACTATCCCTACTATACATGAACCACAAATGTCCGTCTGTACATTTGTCTGTTTGTCGGTCTGTTTGTTTGTAGCCATTTTATATGGCGCCTTCTGAAAAGCGTGCGCAAGAAGTGGATTCACCTGAATTCTATAACCCCTGTTCTCCTGGAGCTAGAGTGTTCAAATTTGGATAGGATACAGGCGGCAAGATGGGGACGCCAATGGATACGACAGGTGCAGACTCCGCCCACTGAGGACGGAGCTTTCACGGAGATTGTTAATTTGGACCTGGGTGTCCGATCTTCGCAGAGATGCATTCGGCAGTTTTGGAACACTAATACTCAGTAGCATGTATAGATTCCGCCCGCTGGGGGAGGGGCTTGCGCGAAAAAGGTTAATTTGAAGACCTGGGAAATCCAAATTCCGTAGAGTTGTAGATTGCAGTTGAGAACATTAACATTAGGCAACATGGGCAGACTTTGCCCACTGGGGGCGGGGCTCGCGAGGAGATTTTAATTTGGACCTGGGGATCTGAGGGTTTCCAGTTCGGTGGAAGTGGACTAATAGCGGGTGGCAAGATTGAAATCCGGATACGGGCAAAGGGAAAGTGGGGAATCCAAAATCGACAATCCTGTTTAAAGGCCTTTTTAGGCTATGTGGCATTAATTCACAACTTGGCTCCCTTCACACGCATGCGTAGCCTTCACAGGTGGTTGGGATACACTGTCCCGGTAGGATATCCCACTTGGAAAATGTTGGCCGATGGATCGATATGCCATACAATCTATTGTGTAATTGACCGCTCAATCGCAATTATGTTCCCATTGTTCGTACGAAGTTCCAAATCTCAGGAATTTGGGGAGATGTGGTGGGATTGGTGCTGTAAACGTGGCGAGCGATAATAGCAACCGATTCTGACCAGTGTAGTTTTGTGCTACTCGATGTAGGGATGCTTATAACTTTTTTCGAGAAGGTAAAGAGGAGCAGTCTCAGCGAGGCATTCGAGCTCAACATATGGAGGAGAGCACGGCATGCATAATTTGGGCGGTCCTATGCTGATTCCATGTTACTTTTTGCAGAGAGTTCTACTGTTCACCCGTCACCTGTCACCTGTACTCCCGTTGATCGTCGATTTCCTCGAGCGGGCTTCAGTAACGTCTATATTCGTCCCTGTCGCGAGCCAGAGTAGTCTAGTGAATCGTACTCGCTCGAGGGAAAGAAACATTCCTTTCGTTCAGAGCTTTCGTGAAGAAGTCTGACCATCTCGTTGGCGGCCGTCCTGGAGTTCGTTTGATGTCTCGAGGGATCCAGTCAGTAACCGCCCTGGTCCAAGGCCATCACTGCCCTTACTGTATATATAAAGCGCTCGCGTGTGTCTGCCTGTTTGCTTGTTCGTTTGTTTGTCTGTTTGTTTTTCTGTCTGTACGGAAATTCGATATTACCTGAAGAAGCACCTGCAGAAGCCGGGTCAAGTTCGTGATGGGTTGGGCATAGGACAAGAGCATCAGAGCACATGTGAGCCTAGCGGAGCTTCGCTCACAAGGGGCGGGTCATACACCGGAATTGGGCGGGACCGTGGGTGAATTCTTCTAATTCGGCCTCAACAGTCCAGTCGCCGGGAAAAAATGTGCAAAGGTGAGGAATGGGCCAACGAATAAAATAATGGAAACTCACCGGCGGTGGGCGGAGCGTTCTCGCAATGGACGGCACTTTAAAGAGATTCATTACTCGATTCAGCAAAGGCGTCGAGGACTGAAAAAATAGAAGGACGCACGCCCCGCCCACGATGGGCGGGGCGTGCGTCGACGTGTGAGCCACTTTTCATAAATGAGCATAACGTCGTTTGGAAACGTTCTAGAATGCGGGAAAAAGTGGTCAGAGTTAATGGAACAAATGTGGTCAAATCCTTTGAGTGGGCGAGTTGGCGCCAAAGTGGGCGGGGTCTAGATTAAAATTTCATAACTCTGTTCGGAAACGTGCTAGAATGCTGAAAAAGTGGTTAGAGGTGACGGAACAAATGTGGTCAGATCCTCGAAGTGGGCGGCGTTGGCACTAAAGCGGGTTGGGCGTAGATCAAAAATTGATAACTCTGTTCAAATACATTCTAGACATGGGGGAAAAGAGGTTTAAGGTATTGGAACAAACGTGATTAAGTCCTAAGTCTGTGGAGCGGAGCTAGCGCAGGAAAGCGGGGCTAGGTTTAAAAATTCAGCTATCCGAAAACTTTCTAGAATGCGGAGTAAATAGTTAGGAGCAGTAAAAAGAAGAGAGGTCAAGTTTATTGTAGAAAGGGTTTGCACTGAGGTAATCATCCACTAGTAATTCTGCTCAAATGAAATTATCGAGCGTGATGCTCTCTGCAATTTAGCGTTCGAATTTAGAGAGAACTATCCTATTCCATTTATCGAACATTCCGCTAGATGACTACATCGTAGATAAGCGGTCGTCGACGTTTAATGCACGCGTTAGCGTGCATAGCCAAACTGGTATCGTATAACGTGTCCGGCCCGCCTGATCTTCGATCTCTTGACGTAATCAACGGCATCCCTGATCTTCGTTCGTCGACGGATCCGGAACTCCGGATTCCCTTCTGCACTTCTCTTCATGGGGAAATTCCGAGCATCATCCTTTCCACAGCGCGTTGAATGACGCTAACTGCATGCTCATCCTGCGTTCGTAGAGT